GTGGAGTATTTCAGTACTCGCATTACTTAAGTTATATTTATTTCAAAATTAATCAAAAATGCATATCATTTGCAGTCTTGCTTGATTGTGGTGTTAATTATCGAATGATTGGAGCCTTGGATATGTGATCATAAAGAGTTCAAATTCAATTCAGATTCAAACAGATCTGCATTAGTTATCAGTGTAGTGTGTCTGTGTGTATGTTTATTGCGAGGCATTTCTTATGCGTTGTGAGCACTGTCTTAGCGGGAATGTTTTTGCTCTCAGTCTGTACATCCCAGAAACAGCCGTGGCCTGAATCTTCTGTTAGCATTAAGATAAAACTGCCCCAGTGCTGAGTCTGGCAGGAGGACAATGCTTTGACCCAGTGTTGAAACAAGGGCTCTTTGAACTGTGTGCTGTGAGACATGGGGCTGGAATGAGTTTTAGAATCCTGGTATATTAGTATGAAGGCCTGGCTCATGAATATTAATTAGCCCATGTTGACATTGCCAGGTAGTCTTGCTAGACTGTCTAGTCACGTAACCTATTTAATATTTATGAGCCAAACCTTTGCAGATACACTTGAATTGCATATAGATGTTCCATGCTGATTTGGCATTGAGATACAATATTAGATCAGCTTTACATTTGCTCATTTCTTCCTGTTTTAATAAACTAAGCAATATAATAATCCTGAAATCAAATATGTAACTCATGTTTAGGATGCCAGATTTAGCTATTTGTTTTCTTAGTTCAGTATAGGCCAACAAAACATTTTAATATCAGCCATTTAAATTGGAGACATTTAAAGACATTTCTATTGTTCAGCTGCATTTCCTATGGTAATACTCCATGCCCTCATAGAGGATTCTCTGAAATGGGTTGCATGTGGAACGAGACAATAGCAGTAGGAAATGAAGGGAGATGTGTGGAACAGTATGAGAGTGGATGAAGAAATTCATTCCTATGTCTTTGTCTTCTGCTTTCTATCACTCTTTATTTCCATGTAGAAAGCTGTATTTTGTATTTCCACCTCTTTTATCTATAAAACAAAGACTCAAGCAGATGTCCAGGGCTGCTTTGATTCTCTCTGTATGAAGCGAACAATGTCTGATCATAAGAGAGACATTGATGTGAGAAGAGAGCACAGTGGCCTTGCTGCCAGCAGACAGACAGATAGGGTCGGGATATCTGCTCAGTCTGTGCAAAGTTTGGGCACTTCAGCCAATGTGTGAGCTATTTGCATATTGTCTCAGTCCTGAATATCAGACAATTAGAAGATAAATATTTGACTGCCATAAATTGATTGATTTGGAGAGTAATGTGGGTAAATGGGAACATAACATTGCTCAGAATTTACAGAAGCTTCATAAAAACACCTTTCATATGACCATGTTTGTGTTTTATGGGGTTATTGGTATTGTAAAATGCAGTGTAAATGGAGATTTTTGGGAGTACAATATATGACTGTGTCAGCTTGGTCGTGTCACGAATCCTGTCCATGGACTTCCGTTCAATCACCACCAGAGGTCACCCTTTCCATTACATTGACTCTCGCACAACACAAACTGTTGCATGTCATCCCGGACTACATATCCCATCAGCCATTGCACTGATTGCACACAGCACTGATTGCACACAGCTGTCATCAATCACACATTCACTATATAACACTCACTCAAACAACCATTCTCTGCTGAGTATTGTTTAGCCTGTGCCCTGTTCCGAGTCTCTGTGTTTACTTGTTTTGCCTTGCCTTGCCTGTTTTCTCGGTTTCTGATCTTTGCCTGTTTTCCTGGATTTATCCCTCTTGTGTCGCCCCTGTGATTCTGTCTGCCGATCGGTGACCTACGCTAGCCCTAGGACTATTCTTGTGTTTTGCCCGCCATATACCTGTTTGCCATTGTTCGACCCTGCCTATTATGACCACGTCTCTGAAATAAAAGCTTGCAGATGGATCCACACGTCTCACGTCTCGTCAGCCCCTTTACAGGTCGATTACCAGAAGTGGGTTTTTTTTTTGTCACCAAATACTTTGTCTTTTTTTTATTATTATTAGCAATTTGCAGAATTTTTTTTAAAGCATTTATTTTATTTCTTTAATTTGTAAATGTATATAAAATGTATTCTAATTGTAAATTATAACAGTACAAATATTTGTTTACGGTTACAGTACATTTATAATAATATTTTTTTATATACATTTTTATATACATTTAAATTTAAAAGAACAGTTTTCTATTTTAATTTATTTTCAAATTATTTGTTCCTGTGATGGTAAAGCAAAATTTTTAGCAGCCATTACTCTAGTCTTCAGTGTCACATGATCCTTCAGAAATCATTCTAATATTCTGATTTGCTGCTCAGGAAACATTTCTTGTTATTATCAATGTTGAAAACAGTTGTGTTGCTTATTTTTTATTTTTTTACTGACTCCTTACTGACACCAAACATAGTGTAAGTAAGTGTGAGTGTTTTTTAAAACTTCTATACTTAAATTCACTGTAATATTCTCTCATTTTCTTTGTTTTGATCTCTTGTTTATGTTAGTATATTTTACTGTTTCATGATTTGATGTAATGTGCAATTTGGGTTCAGGGTCCTGTAATGTTTCTAATGATTTGTTAGCTTTCTAAAGCTCTGTTGCAGTGGGGTTGAGTCTGACTCTGCAGTGTGTTAATCAATAGGCCTCAGGCAGCCGTCTCATGCGCAGCCTGTGTATGGATAGAGAAAAAGACTCTCTCACTGTCACAGTCTTCCACAAACAAACCCCAGAAAGATAGATAGATTATTTGAGTCTAAAGGCTCAGAGGGAAATAGGATGCACACATACACACAAGTCAGTAAGTACAAAGCCATTCTTGTTCACAGTGGTGGCTCCTAATTATCTCCCGTCTGAGGAAATTGGGCTCCCTGAGAAACACACTTTTTTTTCAATTAGCTGGTCACGTATGGATGGCTTCATTGGCACCTTGCCGCCAGTAATATTCACACCCTCCACACAGTTAATGCCAGAAAAATGCCACGGATGATCAAGGCATAACTGACCCTCATTAGAGCCCAAAATTAAGTCGAGGACTGATAATGTTTGTGCGGAGCCTTTCATTTTTCTACTTGTTTAAGTAGGATGAGGAATGAGAGCAATGAAATTTGATTGGATATATATATATATATAAAACCAGCTATATTGCAATGTTTTCTTTTTTGAACACTTCAAGCGTTTTTTTTTTAAATATTTTTTTGTTTGTCTGTTTAAAGTTTTTTGCTTTTATTATTTATTCATTGTCATATTAATAGCATACAGTATATTAATATTGATTATTGTAATGTTATTATAAATATGATTAGAATTTTCAAAATATTATAATATTTTACAGATACATGTAAAAAAAAAAAAAAATGCAGAAAAAAAAAAAAAATGTACAAAAAAAAA